CCCCAACACACCACCTTATCTATCCATCCACTCCCTCCCACACCACCTTACCTAGCTACCCATCCACCCCCCCACCTTATCTATCTATCCATCCCCATACACAGCCATCAATCTATCCAACCCCACTGCCTTACCTATCTATCCATCCCCGTACACAGCCATCTATCTACCCCATATCTGCCCCCTCACTCCCTACCAGTCAAAAGACCCTTGCAAATAGTCTATTACAGGGGTCTGAAATACGCAGCCCATGGAGTTATTTCCAGCGGCCCGCCATAGGTACTGACTCCACCAGCAGCCAATCTCCCCTCCGCCCCTGAGCGAGCCGCGTCCCCGCTGCTCCTCCTACCTCCCAGCGCTTCCCACCGCCAAACAGCTGTTTGGTGGTGCTTAGGACTTTCCAGGCGGGAGAGGGGAGGAGCAGGGCCGTGGCGTGCTCAGGGGAGGAGGCGGAGAAGAGGCGGGGCCAGGATTTGGGGAAAGGGTTGGAATAGGGACAGGGAGGGGGCGAAGTTCGGGCAGGGACTTTGGGGAAGGGGTCGGAATGGGGGCGGGGAAGGGGTGGGAAGAGGCGGGGCCTCATGGACTAGACGAGCAGTCTGAGGTATGAAGTTCAGCATGTCTGATTCTTTGCTGTGAGTAGCTGGGAAGAATGTTTGTTAAAAGTGGCAACGTATTTTGTATGAATAATTACTTTAAAAAGTTCCTGCCACTGCAGCTATGTTGATAGACTGTTGATGATCTACACTATCAGGGTTACTGACCACAGCAATAGTTACAGGTGTTTTTTTATTAAAATCCCTCTTCGCATGATGCGGCCCTCGGGCCAATATACTAGTCCTCATGTGGCCCGCCTGGTAATTTGCGTTTGAGATCCCTGGTCTGTTACAACCCCGCGTTCTCACCATTCCAACCCTAAGTCATTCACACCGATGCTGCTATGAAGTTTTTCAGGGCCCTTGCAGTAAAGCAGAGACCGGCGCATTGGCGTCGCACCTAAGACGGCGTCTGTGCGACTCCCCCCAGAGCAGCTCAGCAGGTAAACGCAACTCCCCTCCGCCCGCCCGGCTCCGTCCGTGGAAGAGCTCCCTGTGACCCAAATCACGGGTCCTGCTCGCAGATCCGGGGGTTGGGTCAAGCCGAGAGCAGCCTCGCGTGGTCCCACAACATCAAGGTTTCTGTGGGAGAGTTCCCCTTAATGCTGGTGCGGCTGATCTGGGCCATTCTGAGCTCCTTCGCTGTAGACCTGCACATCTGAACCTCGTCTGAAAAATGAGCAGCCCCACCCCGTGCTGCAGCTCAAGCAGATGTTATGGGTCTGGGGAAGGTCTCCAACCTGCCTTGCGCAGGAGATCAGGCTACATGACCACAATCATCTCTAAGGCCAGCATATCCTCCCACGCAGGCTCCTGGCTTCCCCTTACCTCTGCCTGCGATGGAGGAGGAAAGGGAACTGGTTAGAGAAGCAGGGTAGGTCAGGGTGGGTGTGGTTCCCCTTCCCCCTCCCCAATTCCTGTCGCGGTTGAGATGTCCAGGCAGCTGAGGATGGGGGAGGGAAGGCTGAGAGACTGTTTCCCTTCCCCCAACTCCAGGAGAAGGCAGTTTGGGGGCATTTGACCCACTGTTCTGAGCAGGGTTTACTGAGCGAAGGATTCTGGTGGGGGGAGTTCACAGAGCTGGGAGGTGTCGGGGTGGGGCGGGGCCTTGCAGGGGTGGATTACCGCACGGGCCCAGGGGACCCATGCCCAGGGGCTCCAGCCAATTTGGGGGCCACAGAAAAATCTCCTCCACCCCTCCCGCCGTGGCCCTAGGGCTGGAGGAATTGGGGTACAGAGCTTCGCTGGTCGCAGCCCCGCAGTGAGGGGAAGGGGCAAAAAGGAGCAAGCAGGGGCAGGGGCAGGACAGAATGGAGTGGGGCCACAGGGAACGGGAGGAACAAGTCGGGGCCAGGCATGGAATGGGGGCAGGGGCGTGGAGGAAGGGGTGGGGCTGTGGGTGGAGCTGCAGGCAGAAGGGGCGGGATGAGGGCGGGATGGGGGTGGGACCGCAGACGGAAGGGGTGGGGCAGGGCCACAGTTCTGGCGCCAGGGCCTCCCCACTTGCTCTGGCCAAGGGCCCCAGGAGATCTTAATTCGCATCTGGGTCCCTGTCACCCTTTCCCCCCCACCAAGATCTGCCGGTGCCCCTCAGTCCCGACCCACAGCCTCCTGCTGTCCCAGCCCTGGGCTCTCCTCACCCCACGGCTCAGCCAGCGCCCTTCACTCCTGACTCACCGCCTCTGCGAGCCCAGCCCTGGGGTCCCCCCATCCCACAGCTCCGCTGGTGCCCCTCGATCTGGACCCGCAACCCCCCAGCTCTTCCAATTCTGGCTTTTCTCTCAGCAGATGAAATTCTACGTGAGAGAAAAGTCCCTGGTCACCATATTTAGCCGGGAGGCTTCAAAACCATTTGCCCAGTTTTGCTGAGTCTTTAGTCTCAGTAAATTTCTCTCTTTACATTTCCCCTTCCAGGGCCCCCCGGGTGCAGACTGTGTCCCCTGAACTGGCTGCTGCATGGGGACAAGTGCTACTGGCTTTCCAAAGAGAGCAAAAACTGGAACGAGAGTCGTGAGGACTGCTCAGCGAAGAGCTCTCGAATGCTCGTGATCCAGGACCAGCGTGCGATGGTAAAATCAATATCAGGGCATGGGAACTTCAGCTGAAGAGATGTGGAGCTTGACCTATCAAAACGCAGTGCTCTTCTAACCCCCACCCCTCCCACTGCTGTAGTATCTGACCACCTCCCACTCTTTAATCTCAACACCCCGTGAGATGGGGCAGTATCAGCCCTGATAGACAGATGGGCAATTCCCTTTGTGCCCCGGTTTCGCCATTGTACATCTGGGGAAACTGAGGCACCAAGGGACTTGCCCTCAAATCACTCAGTGAGTCTGTGGGAGAACAGGGAATAGAACCCAGATGTCCTGAGTCATAGTGAGTGTCCTAACCCCTGGACTGGATAGGCGATCACCTCACTTGAGTCACTCACGTTATGGTAATCGGTTATTCTGGAGTCACGTTGGCAGCTCAATCAGCCCAAGGCCTGGGCTGTAACGTTAGACTCGCCAAGGCCCAGCTGGTTCCCCCCAGTGGGAGAAGAGTTCTCTGGAGGATGGAAACACCCACAGGAGACCCTAGAATCATTCCATTGCAGAAGATTAGGGCGGAGGAGGGAGTGTAAAAACAACCGCCACGGGAAACCAGCGGTGGGCTTAAGATACCTGTACGGTGCACTTGAAAACAGTGAAATCCCACTGCCCATTTTCTGATAATCCTGAGCATAAATGAAGGCCCACATCCACAAAGGTGTATGCAGAGATGTAAATCCCTTTGTGCATGTACTGTTTACAAAAGTCCCACTCCAAATGTCACAGGGGTGTAGTTGGAAGAGTTTAACAGCTACAATTCAGTGCCACAACTGTGTCTATTCACTCATTACAAAATATATACACATAGCTCCAGAATCCAGGGTCCTGCACGTCACATACTCTGCTTTCTTTTGGGCACAGAACTTCAAAACTTCAGGTTGAATCCTTGAAGGTCATTTTGACTCCGTATATCGGGGTGGGCAAATTAAGGCCCGAGGGCCGCATTCGGTTTTCCAGCTGTTTTAATTCGACCCTCAAGCTCCTGCCAGGGAGCAGGGTCGGGGGGCTTGCCCCGCTCCATGCGGCTCCTGGAAGCAGCATGTCCCCTCTCCGGCTCCTAGGCATAGGGGCAGCCAGGGGGCTCTGCACGTTGCCCCCACCCCAAGCGCAGTCCCTGCAGCTCCCATTGGCCAGGAACCATGGCCAATGGGAGCTGCAGGGGCGGCGCCTGCGGATGGGGCAGTGCGGAGAGCTGCCTGGCCGGAGGAGGGGACATGCCGCTGCTTCTGGGTGCTGCTTGAGGTAAGCGCCGCCCGGAGCCTGCACCCCTGACCCCCTCTCGCGCCCCAACGCCCCTGCCCCAGCCCTGATCCCCCTCCCATCCTCCAAACCCCTCGGTCCCAGCCCGGAGCATCCTCCTGCACCCCAAACCCCTCATCCTCAACCCCACCCCAGAGCCCGCACACCCAGCCAGAGTCCCCCCACACACCCCAACCCCCAATTTTGTGAGCATTCATGGCCCACCATATAATTTCCATACCTAGATGTGGCCCTCGGGCCAAAAAGTTTGCCCACCCCTGCCGTATATCTATTTATTTCAAATCAACTGAAGGAGCCTAAATTCTTTCAAGGCTCTGGACCATAGTGAAATACGGGCAGTTACATTTATTGGTATGCCTGGCCTACACTTTACAGGAATTCATAAAAACCCTCACAGAGGGGAAATACCCAGTTTGGATTGGACTGCACCTGACCACCTCCAAGGGAAACTGGACGTGGGTGGATGGTTCCCTGTTAAATCAAACAGGGTGAGTATTTCCTGTTTTGAATTTAAGTCTGCAATCACCTTGTAACTTGATCATTCTGGCTGTTTGTGGGGCCAAATGCAAAGTTCTGCTGGGCTGGCACTCGCAGGTCACTTTCACCCCAGGCTTCACATAGTAAGGGCCGTATTTTCAAGGTGAGAAAAGAGTGATCGCAGCATCTCCAGCTAGAACGGCGGTCTCACTCCATGCACCCTGCAATGTCGTCCACTGACCCTCATCTCATTGTTCCCTTGTACTCCCCAGTCTGTCTCCCTCTGTTCTTATACTTAGGTTGGAAGCTCTTTGGGGAAGGGCTATCTTTTTATTCTGTGTTTGTACAGCTCCTAGCGCACCGAGGTCTTGCTCCAGAGCTGGAGCTCATGGATATAGGCGCCAACTCCATGGGGGCTCCAGAGCTGAGCACCCACAGGGAAAAATTGGTGGGTGCTCTGCACCTACCAGCAGCTAGGCTCCCCCCCTGGCCCCAGCTCACTTCCGCCTCTAAGCGCCGTCCCCACTTCTCCTCCCCGTGCTTGCTGCTGCGAAACAGCTGTTTTGTGGTCTAACAAGCTGTGGGAGGGAAGAGTGAGAACACAGCTCGCTCAGGGGAAGAGGCGGGGCCGGGGCGGGGATTTGGGGAAGGAGTCCAATAGGGGCAGTGAGGGGGCAGAGAAGTTAGCGCCAATGCTCATAGGTGCTCCTGTAATACACCTAGTAACTAACATATAGCGCCTCGTACAATGGGATCCTGGCTCCCAGGCACTACAGTGATAGTAATTCTCCCTCACGCTCCCTGCTTAAAGAGCGAAAAACTCTTGCAACCTACCAAAAAAAAAAAAAAAAAAAGGCAGAGAGATTGAGGCTCTGTTAAGCGAGGCCCAGTTTGGCTGATGGGAGACACTGTACAGAAGCCAAGTACACAGTTTATAATTCATCTGGTGGACTCGGGGAGCCGATGACAGCTAGAGGGAACAAAGCTGTGGAGGAGAGATTAATTCTGGGTGTGTGTGTTTCACCTGAGCCCAGCAGAGTGGGGGGGGGTAAGTAATTCAGTAGCCATTGCCGCCTTCTCCCACCCTCCTGGCAGTTTTGCAGAGATCCCCGTCCACCGAGATTCTAGTCTGAGGAGGCTCTTGCGTAACGGTGACAGAGCCTGGTCATTGGCGGGCGGGATCGAACCTGGGACCTCTGAAGCTTAGTGCATGACAATCTACTGCAGGGCTAGGCTATAGGCGGACTGCGAGCCAAAGCTGGACCTCCAGATGCTTTTGAACAGACCCCAAAATCTTTTTATTTACTTATTGTGGTGTGAAAAATGTCTCTCTGGAGTCTGGACCTTGGCTAGGCTTTGACCAAGAAATTTGGATCTTGGCAAAAAATAACCGACTAGCCCCCTGCTCTGCTGCATGAGCTAAAAGTGAGGCTGTAGCAGACCCGTTAACCTCTAGGCCACTAGAGGGGGACAGAACACAACCCCTAGCAGGCCTGGGTTACACTTGCAGCCACCCTTTTCCCCCCCAGTGTCTCTGCACGTTCCTGCCGTGCATGAAGCAACGCGACTAACCCACATCACAGGTGGTTTGTTTCTCTCTCATTCTCCTACCAGCTCCTTTCACGCTCAGTGAGGTATCTGAACCCTGCAGGGGGAAAAAACATCAAGTGCTAATAAACAACAAACAAGTGCTGCTCTAGGAGCTAGGTCAGGGGTGGCCAACCTGTGGCTCCGGAGCTACATGCGGCTCTTCAGAAGTTAATATGCGGCTCCTTGTATAGGCACCGACTCACTGCTCAACCCCTGGCTCTGCCACAGGCCCTGCCCCCACTCCACCCCTTCCCACCCCCACCTCTGAGCCTGCCGTGCCCTCACTTCTCCCCCCCTCCCCGAGCCTCCTGCACGCCACGAAACAGCTGATCGGGAGGTGCAGGGGAGGGAGGGGGAGATGCTGATTGGTGGGGCTACCAGTGGGCGGGAGGTGCTGGGAGAGAGGCAGGGGAGCTGATGGGGGGCTGCTGCCGTATTACTGTGGCTCTTTGGCAATGTACATTGGTAGATTTTGGCTGCTTCTCAGGCTCAGGTTGGCCACCCCGAGCTAGGTGATAGATCTAGACTCCACTGGTGACTTTCTCTGTTTTTCTGCAGGGTCTCACTATCGGCCCCTGACACTGGAAACAGCTGTGGGGTGTGGAAGGAGAATCAGATTCGTGGTGAAATCTGCAGTGGTACCTTTAAATGGATTTGCCAGAGAGAAGCTGTCCTGATATAAATGGCATTAACGGATCCCCTATTTGATTAAGGGACACACAGGCCTAAGGTTCAGGCTTTGGGTAAAGCTCTCAAAGGTGGAGGGCCGTCGCTGGGCCTGGGAAAACGCCACCTTCCGCTCTGTCAGTGCTGGGACGCTTTAGAAATACACAAGAGAAAGAGCGCCCCCCAGGGGCACGTGTAAGCACAGAATGAACTTGTCTGCATGCGAACGCACATAGTAAGGGAACACACACAGAGCCGCACTTCGCAGGCCATGGCTGTAAGAGGACAGAGCTTCACGAACACGGCCTCAGAGTGTTGATTAATTATTTTAATTACAAGTGCAAGTAATCAGAGTTAGATACATTAAATCTATACAATAATCCCTGTATTGAGTTTGTACCACTGATTAGTATATTAGCTCCCCCCCCTTTTAATCTTTGCAGTGGCTGTTTCCCACTGGGATAGTCTGGAGGAGTCACCCAGCTAGTCTCAAATACAATTTGCTTCTGACTCACCTTTCTCCCAGCGCTGGTCTCCGCTCTAACTACACAGCAGAAGATTAGGATGCTCTGCAGCAAACCTAGACATTGCAATGTCTACTCCGGCCCATCAGAGGGCGCTAGGCCAGGGAAAAAAATAAAAATAAACCAATACATAAAAGGAAAATCAACAACAACACCACAGACTAGAACTAGCTGGAAAAGCAGCATTTTGTCCTGCAAAAGTTTCCACAGGAAAAAAAAAAAATCCCAAACATTTTTAAACATCCTAATGGAACAATTTAAGGGCAAAACTTCTTGCCCCGCTCACATGTTTTTACTCGTTCCCAATTTCTTCCACTTTGGAGACAGTGAGTGAGAAAGGATTTGTAGGAGGGTCGTTTTTTTAAGGAACACTTTCACTTTTAAATGTTCATCTAACACAAGGTATTACTTTCAGAAATGCTCTTGCTGTTTTCCACCTGGCAAAAGTTGGAAGGCAGCCAGAAAGTGGAGAGATGAAACAAACAAAACAAAACAGCACAATTTCAAAAGATTTACAAAATTCTGAAAACCGCTGGGGTTTCCCCCCTGAAATTATATTGGAAAAAAAACCTTCAGAAAACTAAAATATGAAGGTCATTGAAAATGAAATTTCTGGAAAAAAAAAAAAAAGTTAATGTTCAATTAAATCCTGTTTTCTGACAAACTTTTCATTAGAAAATTTCCAGTTGTCTCCAAGTTAGAATGAGGGAAGACAAACTGATAAAACAAGAGGTTCCTTCTAGCCTTAAACTCTATGATTATGAGCAAATTAAAACAGAAGGAAAAAAATACAAGGTTTTTTTTTTTTTTTTTTTTTTACTGTTAGCTTATAGGACTGACAAAGTCATAACAAACTTTATAAAACAAAAGAAGTAAACAACAAATAATTAAATAGGTGAACAGTGAACACTCCTTGGCATCACACGATTAATTTTTTGTTAGTTGTGAGACTTTATACATTTCAATTATTTAGATTCAGCTGCTATGGTTTGGACAGATGATTCAGCTAGAAAATACCCAGCCATATCAAACAAGGGGAAAATACGCATCTTGTCCTCCACAAAAGTACTTGTAACTTAGCTGGCAAGTGAGTCCCAGGGGAATTAAACTCTTAAACAACATTTGCAAATGAACCTTAAAGCATCTAAAGACTCTTAAGTCTTAAGAGTTTTACACACACATTGATCTTTGTCCTTATCTAAGTTTCTATAGCAAAGTCAGGAAACCAACCCGCTTACCCTGAATCAGATTTTGCGGTTCGTTTTGCTCACTGATTAAAAACTTGATCACAGGGAAAGTCAAGTGCAATCGAAAGGGTTCTACATACCTCAGCTTCTCGGCCTCGAACTCGCCTTGAAAGATAACTCAGTGAGATTAAAAGGCATCCGCTCTGCCTATGAGTTTGTAAGCAAATTCTTGTGGGTGGGATGCAATGGTGACAGCAACTCACAATTCCCCATTGCTAGTACAGAGTACACAACCCGATGCCTTCTCACAAAGTAAACCCCTCTCCTGGGCAGCTCCACAGCTTCTTCACAGGGCGCCAGCGCCTCTGTAACTTTTCTGCTAGCACACCTAGCTAGTTATCAACTTCTGGCTTTCACGCATGCTTGGCCTTCCCTTTCCAGTCTCAATAAGCCCAGCAAGGCCTTAACACTCTCAAACATACAGACATTTCGATTTCCATTTGAACCTGCGCCTCATTTCTGGCCCTCCTTAATTACCTTCTTGGCTCCACAACGGAGACTCTCCAGCAAAGATGCAGCTACCACATTTTGATCTGGGAGACAACACAACACAGTCCATGCAAGAGGCATCGCTAGAAGCCTCAACAAAGGGCCCATTGGGGCGTTCGGATCCCGGTCCCATTTAGCCTTAACTCACAACTTTGTTGCTCAGGGTTGGGAGACAGCATGAGCGAACAGAGCGTGGTTCTGCAACAGTCGAAGAAAACCCACAGCCTGGCTGCTTGTCTCTTGCCGCAGCTTCCTTCCTTCGGGAGGATGTTGTGTGAGGCTGCCTCTGTGGATTTTCTTAGCCTATTGCTGTTTAAGATTGTCTCAATCATAGGCGCCGACTTCCCCTCTGCCCGGTTCTACCCTCCCTGTCCCCGCCCCTGCCCCACCCCCATTCCACTCCTCCCCCAAAGTCCCCACCCCATCCCACCCCTTCCCGCCCCCATTCTAACCCCTTCCCCCAAGTTCCTGACCCTGCCTCTTCTCCGCCGCCTCCCCTGAGTGCGCCGCATCCCCGCTCCTCCCCCTCCCTCCCGGAAAGCCCTAAGCGCCGCCAAACAGCTGTTAGGCGGCGGGTGGGAAGTGCTGGGAGAGAGGGGGAGGAGGGGGGACGCGGCGCGCTTAGGTGGGGGGGAGCTTGGCTGCCGGTGGGTGCGGAGCACCCGCTAATTTTTCCCCGTGGGTGCTCCAGCCCCCGAGCACCCATGGAGTCGGCGCCTGTGGTCTCAATCCGTCTTCAAGCAGTGCTGCCTTCCTGCTCAGCCGGCACAGCCGAGCTGAGGGTATGTCCACATTGCAATCACAGGGTTTGGTGGCCATTAATGCAGATATACAACATACACATGCTAATTTTAATCTAGCTAGTACTGGAGCAATGATGCTGCAGCAGCACAGGCTGGAACCTGGGCGACTAGCCCAGTGCTACTGCACCTTCATTGCTTTAATCACGTACCCCCATTGCAGTGTAGACGCACCCTGACAGACAACAGCAGGGGAAGCTGGGAAGGGGTTTTAATCCATGTCTATAGTATGGGGACATGGCAGCAGACTACGTTGGCATAACCCCAGAGCAGACACATCCTACAGTGTGGGGAAGGGGGTTTCCCATCACTGTAGGAACACCGCCTTCCCAGTGACGGTAGCTAGCTTAATTTAGCTGTGTCTACACTGGGGGTTACGTCGGCCTAACTACAGCATTCAGGAGTGAGTTTAACTAAGACCTGGTCTATACTTAAAACAACCAGGACAAAGAGGGCTATACAGGGGCCACAATAAAGAGCAGGTTAGAAAAGAGGCTTATTTACAACAACAAAAATCTGTCAAACTCGATTGAGGATCTTATTGAGCGATGTTTGGAGCGTCATGCAGCTGGGCCCTGAGGCGTTTTCCCAACTTCGCCCTTCAGTCCCCCGGCATCGCGTCCTCTCGTCGCATCCCGTCAGGTGTGCTGCAGAGCCAGTAGCGCTTCGTGGAGCACCACGACGAAGTGGCAAAGTCATCGCTCAGGTACGCGCAGTCGCCTTCTCCCCTTACCGTAAACCTGCGACAGAGACACCCTGGCGATAAGCGTCGGGCCGGGGCCGGGCATGTGCCCCGTCACACGGGCCCATCCAGTGAAACCCCTCGGGATCGCCTGCTTCCTGCACCAATAATTCCACTCAAACTCTTCCTGGCAAGAGGGGTGGGGAAGAAGAGACTAAAAGGTTGATCTCCTGTAGGATTAAGGAACGGTCTTCTGTCCACACTGGCAATGCAAGACACCTAACTCTT